ACTCTTATATTTTATGATCGTTAAAGTCCACACACACAAAAACCACTTTTACTTTCCTTCTTTCTTCTTTCAATTTTCTAAAGTTCTCAGTTATTCCAGCCCAGGGTCTATACCAAAAACATCAATCAATCCCACAGTCAGTCTTTCCTTGCTTTTTTCTTTATTCTGGTTCTGCTTTCACTTTCTAAGATTCTTATTTTGTTTCAATATTTCTTTAATGTTATATCCACACAAGTTCATTCAGAAACAGGATGCTTTCCCTTTTGTTTGAGCTCAAGTTTTTGTCAAAAGGTGGCACTCTCCATTATACAAAGTCTTCACCTTTTTCCCCTATTTTTTTATTTATGGTTTTTTGAACCTTCAATATTCCAGCACAGTCCAGTCTCCAATTTGTAAACTTTATTATTATTATTTTTTGACAATCTTAAATCCAGCTTTGTTTTATGCCTGTTTATTGCCAAAATATTTTAGTCTAATTTAGTTAAATCTTTAGTTCTGGCTTCTTCCTTTCCCAGTTCGAAGCCCCACTTAGCTGTCAAAAATATTTTCTTTTTTTTTCCCCCTGTCCCTTTGTAATTTCGCTGCTCACTTTTCTTTTCTTAAAAATTCCATGTTACCTTAATCCTGGGGTACTTTTGTTTAGCTGTATTGCCCAGTTGTCCCAGTTCAGATGTTATCCATCTCTTTCTTCCCTCCTGCACAAATCTTAATCCAGCTGAGTCGTCCTCTTTGGGGTGGCCATTTTAAACCACCGCTGCAGTCATCTTCGGGGGGGGAAAAAGACCAAGCCCAAGGGGGGAGATGCAGCTCCCCTCAACCTGGCTTGTGGCTTACCCTTACTCCGCCACCCCTCCAAGGCAGCTTCAGCCCCTAATCGTAATGATTGGGGCTCTCCAACGAAAGAGCACGGACCATAGCCGCAGAGAGTCGCAATCTACAGTCCGTCAGCGAGGAGGCTCCACCTTCTTCGCAACTGACTCATATTTATGATGGTTGCAGTGTCCTGGGGTCATGTGATCACCTTTTATGACCTTCTGACAAGCCAAGGGGAAGCCAGATTCACTGAACAACTGTGCTACTAATTTAACAACTGCAATGACTCACTTAACAACTGTGGCAAGAAAGGTCATAAAATTGGGTAAAAATCACTTAACAACTATTGTGCTTAGCAACAGAATTTTTGGGCTCAATTGTGGTCGTAAGTTGAGCAGAAATTCAGTTGTGTCCACCCACTAAGATGAGAATTAAATTATTTATCTCCACCCTGTCTATTAAAGTTGTCTGTCTTTGTTCAATTTTTTTCTAGAATGATCATTGACAGATATAGTAACTGGAGAAGGTGGGGAAGTGGCAGGAAGGTATACAAATAGAAGATGACAGATTCTGGATCTTTAAAAATAAATACTGATAAAGTTGTACAGAATGCTGAATGCTAATGAAAGTTTTATCTGGAGGCATCCAAGTTCCTGTTAAGAGGTGGTGTCTGTTTCCACGTGTTCATTACTGTCACATGGATGGTTTTCCCTCTGCAACTTCCAAAATGTCATAAACTTCATTATAAATAGGATGAAAAGAGCTTGAATTAGGCCAGTGTGAATTGGGATTGGTAGGTAAAATTGACAAACTGTCTGTCCAAGCTTTGAAATTTTTGATTTGTAAACACCTGGGGTTAAATCCCCACATAATCAAACATGTTTGTGATTTCTCTCTCCCTTCTTCCCCCCACCCTTCTCCCCATCCTTCCTTCCTTCCTCCCTCTTCCCTTTTAACAGATAAATGCAGGCCAACTACAATTCTGTTCTAAAAGTCCATTTTTAATAAAAAACTACGTGGCCATTACTGCAGGATAGAACCATGTTTATGTCCATTACACATAGGTTGAAAAGGAAAACGGCATTGATTTTTACAGTTCTGCCTCTATCTTTGATCTTTTTTACTTTTTTGACTTGCTATAATTTAGTTCACATTTTTTGTAATCTCATAGATAAAAAGGAAATGGGAAAGGCAACGGTTTGATCAAATTGTGCACCTTTATGTTGGGATTGTTAATTGCCGTTCGCTGTTTTACATTTTTCTTTCCTTTGTCTTAAAAACCTTAAAACATTGTGAAGAAGCTGTCCACCCAGACTATTGTGACTGTTGAGTAGATGAAAAACAAAATAAATCCAATTAGTTGGGGTAATTGGGGATCAATTAAAAATAAAGATTAGTTAGTACCACCTGAAGCCTTTTTCAAAACCATTGATTTTCATAGAGATCTTGGCTCTAGCTGTCTCTTTATCTCTAGTCTCTTAGAAGTTCTGCAGATGCTTGTAATTACTCTGCCATCTCTGTACTTGGTTTAAGGCTCAGAGTGTGACTATTAGCCCCAAGAAGCTAGTTAGCAAATATTTGTGTGGGTGCATCAATCATAAAGATAAAAGTGTTAGGTCAACGGTGAAAGAAAGGTGAAGGAGGATCCTTGGACCAAAACAAGGTCTTATAATTGTCATATAAGTATTATCTGTATATATAAGTATTATCTGCGTATAAACTCTAGAAAAAGTGAAGAGCAACCAGGATGATTAGGGGACTGGAGACTAAAACAGGGGTGTCAAACAGAGGTGGTATTCAGCAGGTTCTGACAGGTTCTGGAGAACCGGTAGCAGAAATTTTGAGTAGTTTGGAGAACCGGCAAATACCATCTCTGACTGGCCCCTCCCCCCATCTATTCTCTGCCTCCCGAGTTCCAGCTGATCGGCTGGGTCTTCTTTTGTTGCCCTGCATAGGAGAACAGAGCTGGAAAGCTGGTTAGTGGGGTGGGGAGGGAATGGGGATATTGCAGTATCCTCCTTCCCCTGCCATGCCCGCCAAGCCATGCCCGCCAAGCCACGTTCCCCAGTAAAAATGTGTATCCCACCACTGGTGTCAAACCTGCATTGTCACAGCGTTGTCATGTGATGTATCAGGACTTTTTTCCCTTTCACTAAACTGGGCCGCGAGTTTGACACCCCTGGGTTACAGGAACTGAGGTTGGGGTGTTGGACTAGATGACCTACAAGGTCCCCTCCAACTCTGTTAATGTGTAATCTGCATGGCATGGGTAGATTTACAAAGACATTCATCTTACCGTAATTGGGCTTATGAAGCTGCATTGGGGTACTTGCTTACTTTGTGCTACCCTATATTTATATTGGAAATCATTGTAAGGTAGGGCCAGGGGTTCTCAAACTTGGCAACTTTAAGACTTGTGGACTTCAACTCCCATAGCTGGCTGAGGAATTCTGGGAGTTGAAGTCCACAAGTCTTAAAGTTGCCAAGTTCAGAGACCTCTGTCCTGGGCCATAGGCAAAAACTAGAAATTTGTGTAGCGGACAGTCCCGACAATTCACAATTGGGGCATCTTTGAAAACATGAGACCTATGAGCATTACAGAATCAGCAGGGATTTGGATTAGAGCAGGGGTCTCCAACCTTGGGAACTTTAAGACTAGCGGACTTCAATTCCCAGAGTTGAAGTCCGCTAGTCTTAAAGTTGCTAAGGTCGGAGACCCCTGGATTAGAGACCTGCAAGATCCCTCCTTATCCTTTAATTTTATGACATTGATCATTAGCCAATCAAAACTACCTATTTATTTGGTGGACACACCTCAAATGAAGAGCCTCTTTATTTTTGAAGAAGATGTTTCAGGTTATATCCTGCATCCAGAAGCTTGCTTTCTCAGGAAGACGGATTACGCTTGAGAGACTAATGATACCTTTTTAGCATGCTAACTTCCTATTTAATTGTTTCATTATTATTAAAAGAATGGGCAGAGAAAGAGGTTCTGCGGGAACCCTCCTGGCTTCTCAGGCTGCAAAGAAGACAGCAGGAGATCTGTGCTTTCAGGCGTGTAAGATTTTTGTTAATGAAGACTTACAATAAAATAGAATTAGCCCGTCTGGTCATGCTTCCTGTCTGGTCTACCTGGGAAGACTGACATGAATATTGCAAGTCTGAAAGTACAGATTTCCCTATTGTCTCCTTTCAGCCTGAGAGGCTAGGGAGGGTCCCTTCTGAACCTCTTTTTCCACCCATTATGTTGCTGTGGGCTATGCCCTCTTATCTGGCTGTTCCCTTTTTCCTATTTCTTTCCCCATCCCCCATCCCTTACAATCTGTATATATCAAAGTGTAATATCACTCACGCATCATCACAAAATCTCCAGAACCGTAAAGCCTACAAACTTGAAAATTGGCATGTATGTTCCTCTTGGCTTCTTGGTGCTCACTAAGAAAGGATTTTTTGAAATGACCATCAGAATATTAGTATTTGTATATCATTATTAACATGCTCTGATGCTTAGAAGTTCTACTCCCCCTCCCCACCTGAAAAGAAATCTGTTCCAAATGCAAAAAAAAAATAAAAATGCCATGGGCAAATAGGCAGCAATATAAATTTAATCAATCAATCAATCAGTCAATCAAATAAATAAATAAATAAAAACACAGAGGAGTTTCAGTTTCAGTTTTAGTTTCACAGCACCAAGCAGCTTTAGTACAGAACAATTGAGCTGAGCTCCTTGCTGTCTCCTTCTTGCTCACACAGCAAACACTGTTTCAGTTTCCAAACAGTCCTCAACTTTCTCACACACTGACAGGACGCTAGCCAGATGAATACCGATGGATGCTGGTAGGCAGAGGCAGAAATTTTTTCCCCTTATTTTCCTCCCCCAAAACTAAGCCCGATCACATAGTTCTCAGTTGTACGGGTCGGAGAATCCAAAGCGTGGGCTATCTCCTGCTTCCTTGCTTAAAGGCGGAGTCAGTCAAAGTTTAGTCCAGCCCCCTTTCCGCTGCGCATGCCCAGGTTTTGACTCTGTCTTCATGCAAAGAGCGGGAGTTAAGCATTCATCACAGAAAGTTGGAAGAAAGCCCACCTTGAAGTGTAGCCAGATAGAACTTCGGAAGACATGTGGGGGTGGTAAGAATTGGGAGTCACTCTGTAGGTGAATTCTTCATCTGTTTCTGTTTTTCTTTCAGGATCATCGAAACAAGCACGATTCAGCAGGAGAGGCTCCAGGCTATTGCAGTAAGTTTGCTCTTTCATTGAATCATGTTTGCACTGGCTCGTACTTATATCCTCCCCATTTGCTTAATGCTCAGTGCTAAGTGCTTTCAGAACTTTCATGTTTTTGAAACAAGTCAAGTATTACACCT